TGAAATGTTTACAAAACCGCTAACAAGAGCGCCATGATACATACTAATCAAATCCTTCTTTGTAGCAATTGGCCGGAGCTATCTCCATGATCTATCACCCACGTTTTTGAAAAGATTGAAACTACTATGAGGTGAAATTGCATGTCAAAAGTGCATCGTTTTCTACAGATAACGGTCAAACATCAAGATTTTCCTTTTTTTACCGTATTTCCAACGATAAAAACTTTATCCCAAAATATCTCGATAACGCTCTTACAGATTCCGTTTTAACGTCACGAACATTGAGGCGACTATTGGAGGGAAAAGCTCCTGTGATCGATTTTAGAAGAACAGTTCCCAATGGCTTCATTTCGTTGCTATACCAACTCCGATGTCATTGCAACCCTGATCACAACAAATTTTCATCTTTATCTAATACACCTGTGGTGGTAACTTTTCCAAATGTTTGTTTATGGCGACGTAGTTTATGCTCAAACTTGGCAGGTATTGACCCTGAAAAACTGTATGGAGCCATTTTCATATGCCAGTACGGCCTATCTTCTTGCATCGGCCCTCGTTTCTGTTCGACTGTTTTGTTAAAATTTGGGCAACTTGCAAAAATTTTTTGGGCAAATGGTTTACCGCCCCTCCTGGCAAAAAACAGCCCGTACGCCTATGGGTTTTTACTGTAGCAAACATTCAGCTGATTAAGGCTTTGAAATCCACAAAATAGTAAAGATATCCCATACTAAAACTTCATACTGAAATATTGGGGCGGGGCGCGAAAAAAAATAGTTTTACAGCTTGCCTGGGCAAGCTGTAGCTAGCATGTTGAGGTAAGTAATAAAAACTTTTGACGCGCAGGATAAATAATTAATTACTTAATTGTTATGTCTTAGTTATTTCATTACCAGCATTTTTTTAACATTTGATTGTAATAAATTATAACAATTTCACTTCTCATCAGATCAGCTTGAAACACTTAGAAGGAGGGAAAATGATCAGTAACGTTTAGTTTATTGGCTCAGTTATGCTGTAATCAGAATGATATGTCTGACCACAGGTCAAGTGCGGTTCTATGATCAAAGGTGATTATAGCAGGGGCGGATCCAGGAATTTTTTATTAGGGGGGTCCAAACTTTGGTTCAGAAAGGACTGTTGAACTTTTTTGAGGCAAATTACTTCTCCCCCACACCCCCTCCTACCAGTTGGGGTTGCATGCATGTTATAATTCCTTCCGTGTACTTGAATGATCACAGGACGGAAAAATGGATTTCCCTCAAATTTGCTCACTTGCAAACTAAGAGCAAATTTTTCACAAAACTGGTACATGCCAAGTTTGCACACACATTTGCACCCCTGTGTGAAGGGGTTTGCAGATTCGGCATTTGCCACCTTTGCGCAGATTTTACCCTTAGTTCGCACACTTTTGCACATGAGCAAATTTAAAGCAAATTCATTTTTTCGTCCAGTGAATTCTACTCGTAAAGGATGCACCCTTGGAACATCCTCCTCTTCTGCTTGGTAACAAAGATTGTACAGATTTCATTAACATCATAGGAGGGTACCCAAAAACAATTTACATTTTTTAATATCCCTGGAATTTAGTTTAGTGGCAAAATGGCGCAATGCACGTTTCGTTCAAAAAAATAGCTAGTTAAAAAGTGATATATGATCCTGTCAATGTCAATTATTAATGGGTGTACAATGTTTCATTTCAGTGGTAAATGTTTCAGGAAAATTTTGAGGATCTTAAGAATGGACAGAAGGAAGTGCAAGACTGGGCCCTGTAACAAAGATTGTCGATTGGAATTTTCTGGTCAACTTTACATTGATTTTGGCACTTTTTAACTGGCCTGATGTATGGCCACTTTGTTGTATATATAATACTTATAATGATATTAGTGAAAAGTAATATTAATAAATTACTAATTATTATTATTATTATTATTATTATTAT